AAATGAGGGTTCATATACAGGCAAATGTAGGCGGTGCTCAGCTACTACACGGTACTTAAAACAAGGTGTGAAAGAGCATACCGTGCCAACTGGGTTATCTGAGGCATGTTCTTGATTGCTCACTCAAGATACAGCCAGGTTACGCCTACGGTACCATCTTAAGGGGTACTTATCTACTAGTACGCCTATGACCATAAAATGGTTCGCACTTTATGAAAAATAAAAGATTATAAAATGGTCTCGTTTTTATATGAATGCACATTTCCATATGTGTTTATGACCATTATGGTTGCAATTTCACAACACACAACTCTGTATATGGCATTTTCCAGGAACATGATTACGTTACAAGTGGAACATTCGGTGTGAGTGATGTAAAAGTCGGAGCTTTAACAAGAGTCATGCGATGAGCTTTACGGGAGTAGAGGGCTCCAGGGTGGTCAAGCTACTTACCATGCGTGAAGGGATGAAATATGCACGGTCATTGGTCATAGAATGTCCTGAACGCATGAAGAAGAACAGATAACTGGCACGATCTAAAGTATTCAGTTAAAGTTGTATGTGAACCGAGCCAAAGTACTGATGCTGCTCCCAGAAAGTGCTGAAGAATAGATTTATTGATTGGCATTTCATTGAGGACAAGCAGAGATAAAACGAAAATACAACCGGAACAAATGGAAAATCTGACAGAGAAAACGGTAGTAAAACAAACAGTGTGCATTGTTCTTGTTCCCGTTAAGACAGTCAAAATCGTACAAGGCTCAACCATGAAATGCCCGCTTAAATGATGAGCGATTTCTCAGGATAACAAGTTTAATTAAGCAGAACAAAATGTGAAAAAGATGAATTTATGGGGAATAGAACTCTTATAAGTAACTCTCAGTATCACTCAGACGTATACTACCTATGGGTTGAGCAGTACCGGGTGGCAGACTTTGACCCGATGGTCGTCGAGCCATGCCGGCAATGTGGTAATAAGGACGTGACAAGTCCTCTGAAGGCGATTGTTGATCTATTGAAAGACGATGTGTGGATTGACTGCGACTTGAGCTAGCCGCCTCCATGAACATGCTCTCCATTCGGCGATGAGCTGAATCGACACCATCCACTTTTCTTCGAATTGATGCAATCGCTGTTTGCCGAGCTTCTGGCGTGACGCTGAAATTGAAGACCATTGAGCTGAACCGAGAGTAGGCGGAAAAGGACGAAAAAGAAAAAAGTCAAAGGAACAGTCCACGATGATCGTATGGACAAAGGCAGAGAATCATTGCGTATGGACAAAGGCAGAGAATCATTGCGTCATCCTCGTTCGCACGTTATCCCTCTTTACTGTATTGTTAAAGGATAAAGGATAAAGTCTTCGCCGTTGATCAATCCCTTTGTGGGATGCGGCACGCATTCTACTTCCATTCAGAATCGTAGTGGCTTATTGAATGCGATGTGGCCAATGACATTGACAATGACCTGTGGGGGCCAACCGATGTACAACCGATGTACAAGTCAGTGTTTCCTCCCAGACGAATCTGGTACCAATTTACCGTCCCCGGAGGGTAGAAGGCTTGGTTGGCCTGGGCGGGAGTCGACCCGGGATTTGAACCCGCGCGGGTGGTGAGCGCGCAACTAGCGCGGTTACACCACCTCCGCCCTTTTACTGCATTGTTATTGGAAGAAAATGCCTACCAACGAGGAAGGCACAATAGTTGTGGGTCTCTGCTCACTTCCCGTCCATCTAATTATCGTGGAATGCCTTCAGCGGATGAATTTGCGCTTCTTCTGTTACTTCACACAATTTGAATGAATTTGCGCTTCTTCCGTAGCTTCGCACGATTTGAAAAGTTTTTTAATATCGGAATTAAACATAAACAGCATCTGACCAAAAATTACATATACCTACAGTTACAACAGAACTGAATTTTTATTCAGCCCCTATTCAACTAGTCTTTTTTTGAAATTTTGAAAGAGTTCCTTAAATTTCTACAAGACTAACTTGTGATTTGCGTTCACTTGGGCTATCAGCATGTCAGCAATATGTCGCAGTTCTTGTATGTCGTTGTTGAGACGTCGTCGTTCGACTGAGCAGATCCTTTCCGGACTCAATTGTGAATCACGAACATCGTTCACCTTGAGACCAAGTTCCTCTATGCGATGATTCACCTGGAATATTTTTCTTTGTATACTTCAAAAATATTAGGTCATCCCATTCAAAAGTGCCGACGGTTTTATTCGAATAAAACAAAGAGGAGAATAGATAGAAAAGTAATATTTTGGCTTCAAGTTAAGTAAATCCCTCCTTCACCAATGACCCGCTCCCAGTGCCCCGAAAGCCTTTGGACCTCTGGTACCTTCGTTTTTCAACAAAGTGCGAGAGTAAATTGGCTGTTGATGCCACAACGTTACGGCGAATGAAGCAAAATGTGTGCGCGTTTGGGATAAGTACACTTCGACTGACCAGAACAGCTGGAATGCGAACGGATTTTGTTGGCGTAAGTAATCGTGCGATTGAACACAGGTTCCTCAGTATTGTGTGTCCGCAGCACTGCCCGAATACAAGTGGCTAGTGGTCTGGCGTGTGCACGAGGCAAGGGTTGGCGCTTCTTGTAGTTGTGTGGCATCAATCCCATTTGTTGATCTGATTTGCCGAAGGAAGCAGGAGGCACTGTAGCACCGATCAGGACGATTCTATTGCTCTGTAATAGAGGCAGGCTTGAAAGCAAATTGTGAAGAACCATTCGCTATGATGATCATTCCACTGCGTCGCACGTAAGCTGTTCATGGTAGAACTCGGGGCGGCATTCTCATCACAGATTTCATGCACAGAGGCGGATTTCATAAGCCAAATTGAGTTATTGTGAGTTTCTGGTCGAGGTCCATAAGACACCCACACTTCATCTAGGGGCCGGTGGCGTTTTTCACAGCTGCGTGCATGTACATCTGATGCTGAGTAGCATTACTGGGCTAAAGGGGCATGGAATCAGTATGGGTTTTTGGCAGCAGGTCAAATCTGAGCAGCGCAGCTTGCTGGACTCTGTGACGGCACTCGATTTGAAAATTCCAGCGGCTGATTTTTCACGGCACTTCGGGCTTGCTTTTCATTTCTCGAGAACATTGCTTCTGTAGGTAGCGTTTTGCCAAATTTCACATAAGGCTGCGTTTATACTTTGCGGCAGCGTAGCGCAGCGTAGCGTAGCGCTTCCAGCGTACGCCAGCGGCAGTGCCGAAGAGAGGATGCATATCGATCTAGCTTCACCAGCGTCACCAGCGGCACGCTAGCGTACGCCAGCGTTTCTCCAGCGTTTCACCAGCGTTTTGCTAGCGTTTGCAGCGGCAGGGGAGTAGAGACTATGGGAGAGCTGGAGGGTACAAAACACATCGATTGCGCGTCTCTCACTCGCCCTTAGTCTCTACAATGCACATCGCTTCTGCGTCTTCGACGGCCACATAGTCTCATACTAATGCAGCATCGCTTCTGCGTCTTCCTGACGGCGCCCGTATAGTCTCTACGATCGCAGCATCGCTTCTCGGCGGTCTTCGACGGCCCATAAGTCCTCTCCAATACACGTCGATTCCGCGTCTCTGCCGGCCACATGGTCTCTACTCCCTGCCGCTGCAAGCGCTAGCAAAACGCTGGTGCCGCTGGAGAAACGCTCGAGAAACGCTGGTGAAGCTAGATCGATAGCTATGCTTCCCGTGCCCTCGCTACGCCAGCGTGCGCTAGCGTGCCGCTGGTGAAGCTGGTGAAGCTAGATCGAAATATGCATCCTCTCTGCGCACTTGGCCGCTGGCGTAACGCTGGAAGGCGCTACGCTACGTTCCTGCTGCAGCGTTCTACGCCTATCTGCTGTGGTCCTTGTCATTTTACGTGATTAACGCCCGAAGCTTGCGGTTCTATTCAGCCATTACATTTATGCTATTAGTGAGGGGTACTTAGCATGGTATAGTAACCCATTCGAAACCAGTTTAGTAGCTGCCTGATCCCCGAAATTATGTAGTCTTTGCTGGGGCCGATTCTGCTATATTTGCGCCGGCACTACTTGAATGGGATGACGGCTAATGACATACGAGGGGGGGACCATATATTCGCCATAGCTCTTCGCTGCGCGCAATGAGCACAAAGACGCTGCGAATATAGCAGGTTTTGGATGGAGTGACATGGCGGGGTCATAAAGACTCAGATTACCCTTCCTGGCAGGTTACTGACTCCTCTCCAACCGTTACCCGCCACCCCTTACCTGGCCGGTAAGAATGTGAGACCCAAAAACTTCGCGCGAAGGGGGAGGGGGAAGGGTGATATTTACGGGAGGGGGGCAAAAAAGTCACTTGGACGGGGGGTGGGGGGGGTGCAGCATATGCAGGGCAAAGTTTTCGCTGCCCAGACAGAGGACGTGGATACGAGTACCAGGGCGAAGATACCCAAGATGTTCCTCTATAAGCAGGAGCTGGCTCTCGCCCATCACCTTCATGTACACCAAAATATGAAGTCATCTCCAGTCGCAGCCTGACTGGAGAAGACCTTTGGAATTCATGTCACCTCCAAACAGCTGCGAAACTTCTAGTATGGAGTCACCCATGGATAGCTACCTGGAGAGCGCTAGTACTCTCGATCTGGAAGATCTCCAACATCGAGCAGCTCCGACAACGTTGCCACGGTCTAGGACATCATCTCCACCACAGTGCGCAAGGCGCGGGTTGGATGGTATCGGACAGCGGACGTACCTGGTATGGAAAGACCAATATTCTTCTTCGTGGACCCCGGACTAAAGGTGAGCGCTGGCGGTTACATCGAGCAACTCGTGAAGAATATCCTCCTCACATGTGGTCGCCCGTACCTTCTTGGAAACTTTGTACTGCTACAGCATTGAGTGCCACCACATGAAATCGGGCGTTGGAGAAACACTCGCCTACTTGGAATGGAAGGGGCTGAGTACCTAAAGAAGATGGA